TGTATGTGGCTGGCACCTTAGCTGCTTGAGCCACAGGCGCCAAGCCCTAAGTTGTACTTTTTAGACAGAACTCTTTTAAAAACTATTTTATCTTATTATTTATTTTATATTTTGAGACAGAGTCTCACTATGTTGTTGCCCTCGGTAGAGTGCTGTGGCATCACCAGCTCACAGCAACCTCAAACTCTTGGACTTAAGCTATTCTCTTGCTTCACCCTCCCAAGTAGCTGGGACTATAGGGGCCTGCCACAGTGCCTGGTTATTTTTTCTTGCAGTTATCACTGTTGTTTAGCTGGCCTGGGCTGGGTTCAAATCCACCAGCCTGGATGTATGTGGCTGGCACCAACCATTGTGCTATGGGCGCCAAGCCTAGATAGGACTCTTTTGACATGTATTGTATCTACAGAGTGTCTGTAGCATGGATTCTCTGATGTTGAGTAAGATGTGAACTACAATAAAAGATTTTGTCACATACTTTATATTTGTAGGGTTTCAATCCAGTGTGAAATCTCTGATGTTGAGTAAGGATCGAAAACCTACTAAAGGATATGCCACATTCTTCACATTTGTAGGGTTTCACTCCAGCATGTTTTCGCTGATGTAGTCTAAGGCCTGAAGACTGGGTAAAGGATTTACCACACTCTTTACATTTGTAGGGTTTCCCTCCAGTATGAACTATCTGATGTCGAGTGAGGTGTGAGCTACAGTTAAAGGCTTTGTCACATTCACTGCATTTGTAAGGTTTCACTCCGTTATGAATTCTCTGATGTTGTGTAAGGTGTGAACTGCGGTTAAAGCATTTGCCACATTCTTTACATTTGTAGGGTTTCAATCCAGTATGAATTCTCTGATGTTGGGTAAGGCTAGAACCACAGTTAAAGGCTTTGCCACACTCTTCACATTTGTAAGGTTTTTCCCCAGTATGAATTCTCTGATGTTGCCTGAGGATTGAGATCCTACTAAAGGATATGCCACATTCTTCACATTTGTAGGGTTTCACCCCAGTATGAATTTGCTGATGTTGCCTAAGGCTTCCAAGTTGAGTAAAGGATGTGCCACATTTTTCACACTTATAGGGTTTCACTCCAGTATGAATCTGCTGATGTAGTCTAAGGCTTCCCAGCTGAGTAAAGGATATGCCACATTCTTCACATTTGTGGGGTTTCAATCCAGTATGAATTCTCTGGTGTTGAGTAAGGTTTGAACTACAGTTAAAAGCTTTGCCACACACTGGACATTTGTAGGGCTTTTCCCCAGTATGAATTCTCTGATGTTGTCTAAGGATTGAAAGCTTAGTAAAGGATGTGCCACATTCTTCACATTTATGGGGTTTCACTCCAGTATGAACTTGCTGATGTTGTCTTAGTCTTTCCATCTGAGTAAAGGAAATGCTGCATTCTTCACATTTGTGGGGTTTCAATCCAGTATGAATTTTCTGATGTTGTCTAAGGCTTCCCAAATGAGTAAAGGATATTCCACATTTTTTACATTTGTAGGTTTTCACTCCAGTATGAATTTGCTGATGTTGTCTAAGGCTCCCCAACTGAGTAAACGACATGTCACATTCTTTACATTTGTAGGGTTTTTCTCCAGAATGAATTCTCTGATGTTGAGTAAGGTTGGAACTACAGTTAAAGGCTTTGCCACACTGTTTACATTTGTAGGGTTTTACTCCAGTATGAATTCTCTCATGCTGAGTAAGGTTTGAACTGCAGTTAAAGGCCTTCCCACATTCCTTACACTTGTAGGGCTTTTCTCCAGAATGAATTCTCTGATGTTGAATAAGTCCAGAATTATGGTTAAATGCTTTGCCACATTCTTTACATTTGTAGCATTTCTCCCCAGTATAAATTCTTCGGTGCTCAGTAAGATTTGAGAAAGGATTACAGAATTCACTATCTCCTTTACATTGGTAAGGGTTTCTTTTAGTACAAATTTTCTGATGTTGTTGAAGCTGTGAACTCTGATTAAAAGTTTTGCCACACTGCTTACATGTGCAGATATTTTCTTCAGAACGAATTATGTTACATTTTCTTAGACAGGATGACAGAGTAAAAGCGTCACATTTATTATATCTATCTGAGTTTTCTCTACTATGAATTTCCTGATTTTGAGAATGTTTTCCTGATGGGGTAACAGCTTCTACATATGCATTACTTTTGTAAGAATACTCCTGAATATGGGTATTCTCATCATTAATGAGCCTTAAATCTTGATTAAAGACTTTCTCACATTTTTTATATTTGTACTGAATCTCTGGATATTGAGACTTCTGATATTTTCTTGAGCAAGAGTCTTGGTTCAAGGTCTTTTCAGATTCATTGCATTGATGATTTTTCTCATCAATATGTATATCTTGGTAATTATTTAGCAAAGTGCCCTTGATATAGGACATTAAAGTTTTATTGGGTATGTTATGTTTTGCCCAATTATCTATTCCTTGATATTGATTAAGCAATGACAATTTGGTGAACACTTTATCATACTGATCACAGTTGTTGATTCTGGCACAAAACTGTATTATTTGTTGGTGGAAGAATATTAAACTTTTAACAAAGGACCCATCAAATTGATCACATTTAGAAATATTCTCTGTAATTTCAAATTTCTGCTCTTCAGAAATACTTGACTGAACATTTAATCCAATTCTATATGCAATGTCCTGGGTTTCTCTGGGGCTTTCCAAAGACTGGTTGTTTCTTCCGTTCATATGTAGTGCTGAAAAGAAATGCAGATATACTTTAAATGATATATTCAGTCTAGTGAGAAAAAACATGAGTGATTACTACAGCAAAAGAAGACTGCAGAACATATGTAATATATCATGAAAGGTAAAGATTATGTGTTATTAAAAATAAACAAAACTTTTCTTTTTTACTTTTATTTATTTATTTAGAGACAGAGTCTCACTTTGTCACCCTTGATAGAGTGCTGTGACATCACAGCTCACAGCAACTCTTGAGCTCAAGTAATTTTCTTGCCTCAACCTCGCAAGTAGCTTGTGACTACAGGCAACTGCCACAATGCCCAACTATTCTAGAGACAGGCTCTGTGTCACAATGTTCTCCAACCAGTAAGCTCAGGCAATCCACCCACCTCAGCTTCCCAGAGTGCTAGGATTATAGGTGTGAGCCACCTCGCCAGGGTCAGTGGCTGTCTTTTAAAATGACATAAATCTTAACAAAAAAACAACACAACAACAAAGAAACCAAGTAATACAGTCCAATGATAGAACAAAAATATTCAAGTGACCCTAAAGAAATCAAAGTCTACTAAGTACCTTTAAAAGAATTTAAAATAGGCT